GAGGTATTATTACAATGTAGTTCTCAAGGGCATGAATGCACTCACTCTGCCATTTGCTAAAGATCATTGTCACATCCGTCCTGCTGCAGTTTCCTCCCCCATACTCTGCATCTATTCTAATTGTCACAGCGATTGACTCCCATTATAAGCCAATTCTCCTTTTTAACTAAAAACAATTGAGTTTGGTTCTCTTGTTTCTGCCTCAGGCGAGCACTAGAGCTCAGCGACATTTCAGACACTTCACAGTCAACAGCGTACAGGCAGAGGATGAATTCAAAGCTAAAGAGGATGAGTCTGGGGGTGTTTCTCAATGTCGAGGACGCTTCCTTGGTAGGACATGTCTTCCGAGTCAGGGGGTGTTTCTCAATGTCGAGGAAGGCTCCCCCAGAGCCACTATTTCAAGGATGCTACGTCATCGAGTCCTGCCGAAGGACTGTTCCAATGTCCAGCATCCTTGGAATTCTACCGAGGCCAGCGTCCTTCGTTGCGGGAAATTTCTAAGCTGCACATGTGTATCCTCCGCGGTCTTAAAATCCCCACAATGCTTTGCGCACGGACCAATTTTCCAAATCTTTGGCGGAAATCGCGCTCCATTTAAGGCGGGGCCTCGCATATCATTCACATCTGCACATCTGCACACCTGTTAGCCTGTTCCACCATTCTTCGTTATCCGAGGCTAGGAAGGATTCTTGCCTCGCTTCTGAAGGACCTGACTCGGAAGACATGTCCTAGGAAGCCTCCTCGACATTGAGAAACACCCAGGTCCTTCAGAGGCTAGGCAATAATCCTTCCTGGCATTCAGAGAACGAAGAATGGAACAGGCTAGCAAGTGTGCAGGTGTGCATCATATGAGAGGCCCCGCCTTAAATTGAGCGCGATTTGTTTGAAGACCCATAACTGATTTGCGAAGATCGTACTTGAGTAACTGTATTTTGTAAAATGATCATCTCTCCGGGACAGAACCAACATAAAACGTTCTCCTTCTGTTTGCAGCCTTGTAAAAGTCCTGGAGGATAAGCAGCCATAAGAAAATCATAAAATCACCATCACCATCACCAATCAATAATAAAATGTGTATTCATATATCATACTTGTTGTCAATGTCTGCAAACCTTTTTTACACATTGGTGCACATTGTAGCATAAACCACACATATCTACAAAAGAGGCAAAGTCAAAACAAGGTTCATTTTAATTATGTATTTAGGAGCAAAACGCTCTAAGGTCTCATTCACACCTAACGCAGCGTCCACACGGCGGCGTGCGTTGAAGCTTGCCGGTGAGCTTGTCTGAAACTCGACCAACAACCAATCACATGAATCTCCCGCCCCGGACACACAAGCACGCAGTTTGATTGGCTAAAGCTTGTACTGGCATATGATTTGATTGGCTTCCGCCGAAGCTTCAAAAGTTGAACATTGCTCAACTTTTGAAGTGAGCAACGCGAGCAAAGCGAAGCAACGCTCCCACAATGCAGTTCGGCAAAGCGTGAAGTCACCCCATTCACGGCCCGTCCACACAGCGGCGTGCGTTGAAGCTTGCCGGCGGGCCTGTCTGAAACTCGACCAACAACCAATCACATGAATCTCCCGCCCCTGACACACAAGCAGCGGTTTGATTGGCTAGAGCTTGTACTGGCATATGATTCGATTGGCTGACGCTTCTGCCGAGGCGTCAAAAGTTGAACATTGCTCAACTTTTGCAGCGAGCAACGCCAGCAACGCTCCGCGTCGCTTCCCACAATGCAGTTCGGCGAAAAGTGACGTCACCCCATTCAAAGTGAATGGTGAAGCGTCAACCTACGCCGCTGTGTGGACGGGCCGTCAAAGTGAATGGGCAGAAGCGTCTGGTGCGCACCAGACGACAGTTTGTTACGTTGTTTCATTTTTCAGAAGGTTCGGTTTGCTTTCACACGGGCAAAACTCAAAAGGACATATGCACAGTTACTACGCCACTGAACATACTTACATTTAAATGTGTACTGCCTGGATTCAGCCATTTTCCGCCAAAGATTTGGGAAATTGTTCCGTGCCCAAAGCATTGTGGGGCTTTTAAGACCGCAGAGGATACACATGTGCATCCTCGAAATTTCCCGCAACGAATTCGGACTCAGTCCTTGGTAGAATTCCAAGGATCCTGATCTGTACATTGGAACAGTCCTTCGCCGGGATTCGATGACGTAGCATCCGTGAAATAGTGGCTCTGAAGTATCCTTCCTTGACATTGAGAAACACCCACTCACACAATGAGGAGAGGAGACAACTGACAACAAAGTGATTTCGACCACTTGCACTACATGTCTGTGTAACAACGTTAAGCTGCTGATAACAGCTTCTGTGGGATTTCTGCTCCAGCTGCCAAGTTTCACTGTCTAAACACAATCAGCTGTGCATGAACTCTACCTTGATGATGTAGGGTTGATAAATAGACTATGTTGGGGATGGTACTTTGAAGGTATAGCTTTGAAAACAACATATTACTCCAACATTCCCCTACCATTCGGATACATCTAGTTGGTACTGCTGAAAAAGTATAGTTCAGTGTATTCTGTAAACAAATTATCAAAATGACACAGAATACAATACAACATTTTTTACATGTAAGCAAAAAATGCAACTCAATTGTTTTTTATCCCCAAAAGGTGCCAACTAGTTTAGAGGACGTACATAAACCTGCAACAACAAAAAAATACTCGACTTATATTTAATGAAGAAAAATTGATGTATAGAATCAATAGTAAAAAAAAGCAACAATAAACAACATCATCCCTTTTCCCAAGTTTGTGGTATAACTGATTTTATGTTTAATTACAAGCCACTACTTCCTAACACTGTAGTGTAAATGTTTAACACTTACATTACAATTTTAATTTCCTGGTTGAAAAACAAGGAATCAATTTGAGCTTGCGGTACTACACAGTTTTGATTACTCTGTGCCAAAAACACATTTTCTCTTTACGATTGGATGTTGAGATTTGACCTTTTGTATATTTGTCTGCCAAGCAGAAATACATTCTTTTGCTGGGCAGACATTGTGAGGAGCTCACACAAATTGCTAAGTGAACGCCTACATTTCTACTGAGTGCAATCACACGTCAACACTGCACACTCTGAACAAGAGGAGGATGATGTATCCGTCAATATGGTGGTAAATGGACTAGACACATTATCAGGACAGACACGACAAACAAAACATCAGAGGCAAAATGTCCCTTTAATTTGCACAAATGGGACAAAAAGTAAAATGTTGAAGCATTTATGTTGTGTCATAGACTTTGTCACAATGTTTTATTTGTATTTATTGAGGTCATAGTGGCCTTGTGTTGTGTTTGTATGTGCTATGTGGATGTATTTTGGAGAGGGTGAATGTCCGGTCATCACACTGGACTCAAATCCACAAACCTTTACAACAGGAGACAAAAGACACAATGTAAAAATAAACACCATCCTTTTTTGGTGCAAGGTCTGAAAAGGACAATGTGTTTCTGTTTACACTGAAATTAAAAAGTCAACAACAAATAAACCCTGTCATTTTTCCAAAATCATTATCTTTAGGGGTGATTAACCAGTATAGAACTTTGCAAAAATAAAAAAGTTTATTTTCAATCAACTTCAAATACCTGAAGTTAAAAGGGCTTAATTAATGTAAATAAACAATGTCCACTAAATGGAGGATCAACACAGGATTAACGAAAGCATGCAACTCGATATATTTTAATAGGTAATAAATAAATGTCAGTGTTATAACAGTGGCACAGAACAAGTAACAACTGCTCATCATGAAAACAATTCAAAGCTTCTTCTAAAAAACTAAACTTCAAATCTGAATACAGAGCATGGACATGCGGACAAAGAGCAAAGCAAAGAAGCAGCAGGATGAGCTCCTTATCTGATGATTCAAATCTTCCCCTTAACACCTGGACTCCACAGAACAGCCATTTTTCTTTGTCTTTGTTGTTTTTATAATGGAGTCTGTTTTGTTATGGCACAATGTGATCTAAGAGAGACACTTAAATGAAATATGTTTCATATATAGCCCTCCCTCCCACCAAGACATGACTGCTATGCTGCTGTATCAGATAAACAAACATAAATGGCTATTTATTTGCCTAACAGACAATATTAAAAACCACATATGCTGATTTTAATCTTACATCTTTATTTACCCTATTTTCAGGGTGTTGTTTGAAGGTCCCAGGAAATGAAAACCAACTAACCAAACCAAGTTAATCTCAAAACACCTCAAATATAATTTGCGCAATTATGTTTTTACTTTCTGCTAGACTTCTAATGTACAACCACACTTAACTTCACAGAAATACATTTCTGAGAAAGTCCAACATGAAACAGAGCGACACAAAGTCACAAAAATATGTTTTTAATAAATAATGTTTAATCAAATACCACAACGATAAAGCCAGTTTTTGTTTCTGCTACCTTGTCAACTGATATATGACAATTCCTCTGAGTCTTTTTTGGGTCAAAGCCATTGTGATATTGCAATATTTATGAGAATCCTTTCTGTCCCCTTCATTTTACAAAAGTGATTTTTAACTGTCCAAAGATGCATTTTGTTCCTCTTGTATCAAATTACTTGTGAATATGTTTTGTTTTGTGAAGTTTAAGTACAGACATCACTCCGCAAAGGTTGCAATTGCTCCAATCAACTTAAGCACGATCATATTTTCACAAAATAAACATAGAGTGGGTAGACAAAATAACAAAGACACCTTTCAATATGTAACTCAGTACAACAACAGTACAAAGCTTGAGAACAACAAAACTCTCACACCTGTCAGTTAAGTACAATTATAAAGTAAGGGGCAGGTTAGCTAGCTTAGCATAAAGACTGCAAACAGGGGAAAACAGCTAGCATGACTCTGTCCACAGCCCATTTGTCCTGGTAGCCAATCCTGGTAATGAACCCCCCCCCCAAAAAGCCATTGCTGTCTAAAACCCTTTCCCCCCATTAACCACCCTCAAAAAGAAATGTAAGTACCTCTCTGCAAGAACGTGAATAACAGTTTTTTTACCAAAGCGTGAAACTAGCATCCAGTTGTGTTTACATCTCACTGTATTTCACAATATTGAATACATTTGGAGGTGTTTCTGTTATTTTGTCTACCCCCTGTATCTCTCTGGTTGATTTCACTCTAATCCAACTTTCCGCTTTCCCCGGGCTGTTAGCATATCCGACCCTTCCGGAGCCTCGCCTCGATCAGACCCAGGCGTGGAAGCTGCCGGCCCAGTCCAACAGTCGCCCTCGGTACCAGGCACGTGAGATCGGCTGAATGAGAAGCAGGATTCGAAACCTTCGGACCAGCCCGCAGAAAATGGCCGCCGCCACGACCACGAGCGGTGACATCATCACAAAACCCAAGATGATGAGGGCGGAGCAGCTGTTGTCGTCAAGGTAGCCGCATATCGCAGAGGGGGCGTCAAGGACCTACAAGGAAAAACACAGAGGCATCATTAAAGCAGACATGGGGTGGCCCAGAGGACATGATGCACCTTTTGCGATCAGCAGGGGCTTCTTCTCTTCTGTCACAAAGCAAAGAGGTGGGAATTGTTATTTGTGTGTGTTGATCTATGCTCGATGTGCAGAATGACGTTGTGGGTAGTGGGCTGTGAAAGAGTTTCTCCCAGCCTCCCTCTGCAGTTCAGATAATGTCTCAGTAGCTGTCAGTAACCCTCTGAGCTGTCAATCACCTTGTGAGGGCGAACGAGAGAGAGGAGGAAAGAGATGGGAACTATAGAAAGATGTAAAACGGGCAGCTTCACAAGTACACTAACATCTTCACAAAAACATACAGACACAAAGTACAAGAACATCATCTCTTTCTCTGTCAAGCCCACTCAGACAAACTAAATCTCCTATTGTAAGACTTTTCAAAAGGAGCTTCCCCTCCACCAAAAGCACCCTAGCAACGGCAGTGTCTAACTCACTCATGAACACACAGACACACACACCTCTGTCAAGTGCACTGTGCTCTCTCACAGTACAGCGTGTCAGTGCACAGCTGGCTCTGGCACCAAACCAGACACTCTTGTCTTCTCAGTGGGGCCCTTTTGCCATGTTCAGTCTGTCTCCACAAAAGGGAGAACTCTCTGACTGACATTGTCTGTAATTGTTTGCTCAGAACTGACATTTGCTCTGGCATAACCGCGATAATAGTTGCGTTGCATGCGAACACATTCAATGTTCTTCATTATTGTATGCTCTTGTCATACTTCAGAAACCAAATCATTCAACACAGGGAAACCAGGGGGAAAGGACCAACTGTATCGAATGTAGGATGTGGTGTTATGAACAGTATGTTATAACACCCGTTGGTTGTGCTTTTCAGTTTTAAAGCCTCGAGGTAAGCATTTTGACCATCACCATCTTGTATATTTGGAACCATACGTGACTGGAGAGGGTGGAGCAAAATACCAAAATACAACCAAGCACTGAACAAGACATATTGAAGCAACCATAAATGTTTTAACTGACTTAAATTTGATAACATCCATGAACTGAAAACACTTTGAGGGTTAATGTTGTAAACTGAACAAACTGAAAACATTCAAAAAAGGGGTAGCAACCTGTCAATCACAAGATAGCCCAAACCAAAGTCAGGAAAAGGGTAATTTTACTCATACACTAGGCAATCCGAGATTTCCTTTTGTAATGATGGCCATTCGAGAGAATGCAGGTTTAAGGCACTTTTCCAAATTGGCTTCATTTTTAAATACCTCGAGGGTGCTATTTGGTTACAACCTGTGCAGTGAGACGAAGACAAAGCTGTATATCTTCACAGCATGAATCAGCATGATGCGTGCAATCACAATATTTTACTGATGATCTGTCTGCCCCGCATCCAAATAACAAGGCGCACCCTTCTCCTCACCTCATAACAAGAAAACTGACAAGCTCCAGCATTCACTTTAATCAATTGAAAGCTTCAAAACTATAGGTACAACCCGGATAAAAAAGCCTGAAAAACGTTTTGGAGATAGTGTCAGGTATAGATCACTGCTGTTAAAAAGGCTGTCTGTTTCCCTCAAAGACTCCAGGTGCCAGTTAGAGATAATCCTCTTTCTAAATGTCACAAGATTACTTGCCTAAATTTCCCTTGAAAAGTGCAGATGTCCTTCTTGTTGGATATGTAAACATACTGTTAGGTCGACACAGAGAGCACTTTCCTTTTTAAAGCTGCAGGACGTTTTTTTGAGCCACTCGGGACACATGATCAATTACTCTGCTTAAAGCTCTGTTTTGCTCTTCAACAACTCCTTGAGAAAGAAACATCTGGCCCTCTAGCTAATAAATACTTATTAATGTTCACCTGTTATCAATTAACTGTGTCTGTCTGTCTTTTGGTGCTGTGTTTTGACTAAAAACAGATGCTTGCTTTAGCTGAAACACGAAATTGATGATCATTTTATGTGGGTTTACTTAATGAGCGACATTTTTACATCAGTAGTCATAATATAGAATAATAGTAAACTTGTCCTCTCAGCTTGTACATTAAACAACAATAACCGCATAACAGAGTGATATCTCACCCTGGAGTGGCAGAGGAACCCAGCGTACAGCAGCAGCATTGCAGGGAGCAGCACCACAGAGAAGACAACAGCCAGGAGCAAAGCGCTGGCTGAAACCACAAAGATGTCCCAGAGGACGAGGGCTGCCCCACAGGCCAGGCATCCCACCCTGCCCCTGCGGCTGCCCCATTCACTGCCCCCGCTGTGGGCCACAGGAGGGGGTAGCATCTTCACTCCCTCCCCGATCCAGAACTCATCTTCTTTCTCTTCCTCGACTGAACCATCCTCCAGGTCCACATCCACACCACACATCCTGAGGCAGAAGGAGAGATAGAAAATGAGAGAGTGGGTTTAGGGGTAATACTGATACATCCCTTGAGTTGTTATTGAATGGATGAAAAAGAGATAGAAGAAGAGAATGCAAAAACATTCCTGTGCCTTTTTAAATGTGTATACTGATAATCTGTTTTAATGGACAATTAAGTTATTTAACATGTTTGCAATGCCCTGCCCCCCTTCTTCTCTTTAAAAAAAGAGACACACACGCACACACACACACACACACACACACACACACACACACACACACACACACACACACACACACACACACACACACACACACACACACACTCTGAGCTGTCTTCATCGCTCCTCTGGTCGATGTCATTGATCAGGGCTTTGTCACTGAAGCACTGACTGTATGCCAATGCGTTCCATTTTAAATCGACTGAAATCTTTTTTATATTTAACCCTGAACGACCTGCTGCTGAGCTGCATACACAAACCAGGAGCATCACACGGGACAGGACACATCTGGTCGATGTCATTGATCAGGGCGATCAGGGCTTTGTCACTGAAGCATTGGCATACAGTCAGTGCTTCAGCATTTGCAACTCACCTTAATCATGATTATAATCTGAATGCATCTTGTCTGCTTTATTTGCTTTTCCTTTAATTATTTTAGATCTGATTACTCTGCATTTTCTGTCAGGAAACTGTCAGATGCAACAATCATTAATGCATTTGAAAGAGTTATGTAAACTATAATAAACAACACGATATAAACGAGAATTGTTGCCATACCTCCAAATCCCGTTAATCCAGCCGGTGTGTTTGTGGTATAGTTCCTTTCCCGCTGGTCCACTCAGAGCTCTTAATTGTATACGAAATGAAGGAAATACTTGTGTGTTCTTTTTTTTGAAAAACAAGCAGCGGACAGAAGCACCTGTGAGTTGAACCCCGCGTGCTGCTGTGGCGCTGCTGTGTGAGAAACCTCGCGCGTTTGTGGGAGCGAGCGTCTCTGGGCCACGCGCACCATCGTTAAATGCGCGCTCACGTTGGTGAACAAAAATAACGTTTAAAAGCTGAAAAACAAACAAAGTTTTAGTTCCAATATTTTTTACAACATATTTTCACGTCATTGCTGTACATTTTCTTGCATCATGTAACCCTATTCACGTAACAACTTTTGTGTTGGAAGGGTTCCTTCAAACCAATAATAATCAATCAATCAATCAATCAATCAAAAGCTTATTAAAAATCACAACTGCCCAACAGTAAAGGAATTACTAACATAATGCATTTAGTGCAAACCTGATGGCTTTTTAAAAATTCAATATTTGTATTCATAAATGAATTAAATATGTACAGCACTTTGGCTCGACCAAAAATCGTTTATAAATGTGCTATATAAATAAAATTTGATTTGATTTGATTTGAAATACATTGCTATCAAATATCAAACAATGAAAGTGATTGTTTTACAGGCAAAACATGCTCTTATTAATGGCTGTTAACTGATATATGAAAGCCATACTTACCTTTTACAAAGCATGCCCTTTTAGCAAATTCCACAGTGTGCACTCTAGATTTAATCGTATCAAAGCATACACCAATCACACAGTTGGTGGCTCAGTAAAAGCAAGGATATAGAAACGATATGCCGACAAGACATCTGAAGATTAAAATAACAGTTTTTTAGACTAAAACAGTTTGTGTGTATTCTTGTCCTGTAGTTTCCAGGCCTAATACATAGTGTCTTTAAGTACTCTCTAATAATATAGTAATTGTCAATGATAATGGTGTGGCACTTTTGTCTGTTTAAAAAAACCTAAAATGGGCCATTCTAAGTTATAATAGACCTGCCAGACCTGTTCATCATGTAATCTTCCCAATCAGCGACCTTTGCTGAGGTTTACATAACTAAATGTGTTTCATTTAAGACAGGTAATCAGATAGCATCTCACGAAAATTAGATTGGAGTGCACTTAAAATCCTAGCAGTCACACATGCTGTACAGTGACTTTCACACAGACGGAAATAATGAGAAAGACTAGAATATTCTAAAATAAAATCACCAAATTGTATCATGTATTACAAGGAGTTACATAAGGAGTGTTTTATGACAGGTAAAAGAGGAAGAGTATTAAAACCTGTCTGCGTGCACAGAGGACAAAACACAGTAGACAGTTAAAGGGTAAGGAAAAAAATCAAACTTGAGTTAATCGATGACAAAAAGCTGATGTGATATGTTCAGAAATGTCCCTCTGAGTTTCTCTTTCTGCAGTCTGCCTCTCACCAATCTTCAGAGCATCGTCAGCTGTGTGGCAGGAGAGATAAGAGGATGATCGATTTGTTTTGCAGCACAGACAGACAGTCAACCTTTCACTGCTCAAATGTAATTACTCAGAACAAGGGGGAAAAGATGAGAGGATATATGGGACAGCGCTGAGGAAAAGAGATACGGTTGGACGTAGAGATACATATGAGGAAATGATTAATGAAGCAGAGGAGAGATTCAGAGAATAAGGGGGTAATACTGCTTGGTGTGTTTGGTGTCTGGTCCTGAGGAGCTTAAACCCTCTATGGCAGGGGTGCCCAACCTTTTTTGAACCGAGAGCTACTTTTAAAGTTGCTAGTCTGCCGAGATCTACCAGTCCAAATAGAGAGGCGTAGCCATTACTGACAGCCTACTACCAGGTAAATACACACTTCTACTTGTATAAAACTGACCTTTGTACGATTAATACTTCATAAAATACTGCAGATCCTTTATCTTACCTCTTTCTAATCTACACACATACAAGTATTTAACTGAAGTTACACAACAGTGTTGTTGATACAGAGTTGGAGTTTATTCACACGTCACATACTACAGTGGGTAATGTTTTCAAGAAACATTGAACAGTGCTGCCACATGTGACACAGGGAAAAAAGAAAATACTCTGAACCCTTTCTTTGCCATTATATAAAAATAGTGTTGCTACAAAAGTATAAATTAGGCTTACTAATAAGACAACTCAGATCTGAAGCTACACAGGAATCTGCTGCCAAAGTGCAATAAAAAAGACAAAATTAATAGAATCAAACCCTTTTTTGTTGCATTTTAGTAGATTATAAAAAGAAATGCCTTTAAAATAGGATGCAAGCAACACTAGTTTCTTAACCTGAATTGATAATAGACTATAATCAATTTAAGTTTGCATTCTTATACCATTTTGTACAATAATTATAATGAATAAGTTCAAACAAACTCAAACTTACAGCTGATTAATAACGGTATCTAACTTGAGTTTTTATCATATCAAAAACCTGTTGAAATGCTTCTGTTATTTTTATTACGCGTTGGCAGCCTCCAGGAATGCTTCTTTCACAACTTTGCCGTCTTTGAAAGACTTCATGTGTTACGCAAGAGCGTGACTGACACGATAAGATGCTCTGGGAGCAGCCTTGCTCTTGTTGTTGGGCCTGGTGAAAATGGACTGCTGTGCATTTAGCTGTCCTTTCAGGCCCCGCCCCTTTTGGGAGCGTAGGGTAGAATTAGGAGGGAATTCCGTCTCGTAGCGTTTGTGTACTGTTTTGAAATGCCGCTCCTAAATGACCCTTCTTCGATAAAGCCACGCTCACATTGCAGATGAGACAGATGGACTTTGAATTAGAATAGATACAAAAATTATCATCCTCCCACTCGGAGTGAAAATTATATATGTTTTGCTTCTCCCCGCGATCGACCGGTCGATCGCGATCGACTTGTTGGGCACCCCTGCTCTATGGCATACTGTTGCCCTCAGGCAACAAACACTTTTTTCGACCTCACACTGGCCCTCTAAATATATATATTTTTTTAAATATACACAATGTCACCTGACATGCTGGTGTCCAATAAAATGAGGGAATTATATGGGTGTGGCATTTTGTCTGGGGGTGGAGCAGTCCTTTCTGCAAGCAAAGCTGCAGACTCAGGGCCACCACTTGGTAAGATACATTTAACTTTTTTAACATATTAGAAATGTACACAACTTAAAATAAAAAATACATGCATGTGCATGAATACGTAAAGAAGTATATTTGATTGTTTAAAGACTTATTATGTATTTATTAATTAGCTAAAACTATGTTTTTTTGTTCGTTGCCTCAGGGCAACACTGTGCCACTTGGACCACTTTTTTCCAGGCAATATCATGCAAGTGTGCAAATGTGCTCAGCTGTAACATGATAAACCTAATCAATGTTTTTACCATCTACTGATATTTACAGGAAATGGACCCCAAAACCTGTTATGGGCAGAAAGGACACGATCAGGCTGTTAGGGCTATTCTGTCTGACAGTGATGGTCAAGATAGGGTTATATATATATATATATAACCAGGGGTGCACATAACTTTTTTGCCCTGGTTCTCAAAGGAGCACCTGGAGATGTTGCTTGGTGCTCATCCTTAAAATGAAATAAACCGTAACTTTTGAGGGGCTCTTGACTTTATTTGCCAGACACACGGCACTAAACACACATGCAGAGGTGAACACAGAACACACATGCAGAGGTGAACACAAGACAACATTAGCACGACCAGTAATCCTACAAGCTGTCATCACTACCCTCCTGACTGTTCTCCTCACTGTCTTCCTCTCTGTCAGACTTGGTAGCTGATGATGTAGGCCTACTACTTTCTCTCTGGTTGAGTCTGCGATTAGCTGCTTGCATCCACAAGTCAACAGCTGGTTTTGGGTCGAAAGTCTCTGTTGTGATCATCTTAGACAAGTGGATGTAATCAAATAAGTATGTGAACATAACCAATAACCTACCATAGCCAATAACAAATGAATGTAACTTATTTTATTTGTGTTGTTCATTCATATCTTATTTTACCTTAACATTTATTTATTTATGCATTTTTTTTTATCTCTCCAGTTTTAAAGTATTTTTTTGGTTACTGTCCTATAGTATATACATTGGAATGATTTCAAACCTGTTTATCCCAATAATTATAAAGGAGTGCCTTGGAAATATGTGTTTACATAAATTGTGACCAAACCGTTTGAACTTAGACTAAAGTGAACTATCTAAACACTCAGAGTCCTGATTGATTGATTGATTGATTGAAAAGTTTTGATTGATTGATTGAAAAGTTTATTAACAGCTTGTATATTGGGTACAGTACAGTACAGCTCAAAACATACAATTGTTAAGGGGATTTAGACCAGAGAAAGACTTTCGTCTTGTTTACATCAGGGTCCCCCATTTCCAATTCATCATATCATTTAAGACCTATAAGACATATTTGACATACAGATGGCTTATTTACAATTTACATACAGGTGGTTTTTTACATACAGATTGCTTATTTACAATTTTCATTTTAGATTTCGTTCTAATACATCCTAACCGGACATTTAAGACATACCAAGTCTACAGATATACAGTTAGTAACAGAGTCTAAAATGCGAATATATACATAGGGGGGGGGGGGGGGGGGGGGGGGGGGGAAGCTGTCCATTGAATGACAGGTTGAGATTTGTACCATTACCGGGGCCAGTTTTGCAATGCTCTCCCCCGAAGGTGCTCTTTAAGAGAGGTTTTGAAGGTAAGTATAGTTTTACTTTCCTTTACAGTTGTGGGAAGAGCGTTCCACCTTGATGTGGCATAATTGCGAAATGTGTATTCCCCCTTTTTTGTGCCAAATCTGGGTTTCACATGATTTGTGGAGCTCCCTCTGATGTTATGATCATGGTATTCCTTGACCTTTGGGAAGAATTTTGACATGTACATAGGTACCATAGAGGTGTAGTGGATCTTGTAGACCAGGCCCATTGCAAGTAGCTGTACTCTGTCGTCTACTCTAAGCCATCCTAGGTTGTCAAAGTGGGCAGAGGTGAGGTGGGTTCTAGATGAAAGGTCAAGCAGTAGTCTGACCAGTTTATTTTGCGATGTTTGAAGTTTTATTTTTAGCGCCTTGGAGGTGCTATGGTACCATG